TTTTTGTAATTTAAACATGGCTAAATGGCACTTATATACCCTATTGTTTTGCTCTTGTAGTAGTTATATACCCTAAGTTTCAAAACATAGCAAAATACACTGAGTTGATAATTGTTTAAATTTAGCTAACAGTGTTAAAAATACATGAAAGGACAATAATGCCCCTCCTTAAGAATTAACCCCCCCAACATAGTGAAAGCTCTTATTTTCTATTGTTACCCATATTAAAGAGGAAGAAGAAGTTAGAGGCCACGAAAAGAAGATGATGATGATGAAAATAATCTAATTTGCGGAGGGTGGGGTGGGAGGGGGTAGGTAATACAGTAAATAATATAATAAATGAGGGCAAGAAGTATTTAAGTTGGTCATAAGTCCAGTACATGGGAATATTCCAGAGAATATTCTCACAGCTGGTTAACAAAAGCTACCAACTTGCAAAATTTTGCCAACTTAGGGTATTTTTTTGCTATATTTTGTAACTTAGGGTATATAACTGCTTCATGAACGAAACATATAGGGTATATATATGTAATTTATCCTTTAAACTTTTGAGGTTTTTCTATAATTTTTAAAATGCTAAGGGTGTTAATTATAAGTTTTAAATTTTTAGATATCATGTTTATTTTTAAGTTTTAAAAAGTCAAGGTGTTTTGTGTAATTTTAAACTTTTAAGGCTATTATATGTAATTTTTAAAACTTTTAGGTTTTTTATAATACTTTATGTATTATAATATGTTATCTACGTATAATTTCTTAATCTTATTTTTTCTATATTTTTGAGTTATAGTTAGTTCATATGGAGTTAATATAGGATATAATTAGTATTTGGATAGATTAAGATTTAAGTAAAATATTCAAAATAACTTTTTTTTAAATTGTTGACCTATAGATCGTTCACGTGGAATTAGATAAGATATGATTAAAATTAGAATAGATTAGGATAACAATGTAATATTTAAAAAAAAGCTAAGAGTAATACTGACCATAGAAAGATTTTCCCGAACTCGTGCTTTTAAAGGGAGTATGATATATATATATATGCAATCACAAATTTACAATGCCTAATCGAAACCGCTACAAATTACAATCACAAATGACATACGGAAACAAACACAGATCGAAACCGCTACAAATTACAATCACAAATGACATGCGAAAACCGGCCACTGATCGAAACCGCTACAAATTACAACATCAATGCCTAATCCTAACTGGACAATTATTTTTGTTATGTCCCGGTTGATCGCATCTACTACACTTATTTCTCCTCCTAACTCCTTCACGACCGTCATCCATACTATTTCTAATACGCACGGTACGAGGGCGCCCCGTCGATCTTTTATACAATGGAGGTAATATTCGTGGCCCGTCTTGTGTCCAATGTCGACTATCGTATGGTGGATGAAAACACTCTTTGTACGTTTGTTGATAGTTGTATGCAGAATACCAAGCCGCGACAAATTCATAATGTGGAGTGTCTGATTGATGAGGAAAAGCTGAGGGGGTATCGAACTCATTTAGACGTCGGCTGCTTTAACTGGCTAGTGAACATCAGGCCGGGTTATCTGATTTTCCGGGTGAGGAATCAGTGTTTCATAGAGCCATACCTACCCTGCCGATTCGCTCGCCAGTTTGGCTATCTTTGTACGTTTGTTGATAGTTGTATGCAGAATACCAAGCCGCGACAAATTCATAATGTGAAATTCGAGAACCACCCTGTAGATCGGAGCAAGCTGCTACAACATGTGAACAAGGAATACATTGTAGTTGCGGTATATTACAAGTGCATGTACTAGTGTGATCCATCAACATATTGACTTTGTAAGAGCGACTTTCTCTATGGGTTATTCCCTCAATAACCTCCCATTCATTAAAACTGTATCGTACGACCTGAAAGGACCGAGCTTGTACAATCCGAGCCGCTAGCATTTCATCAACCTTCGGTGTTAGCTCTGAGCGCATATTTTCACTAAGTTCTCGACGTCGAAGAAAGAATTTATTAAGCCTGTAAAAAGTTTTAGCAACTAGTGCCTGTATTGGCATGCCGCGTGCTCCCCTGAGCACGCCATTGAAGCTCTCAGACGCGTTCGTAGTCATCATACAGAACCGTTTTTCGCCATCCTCACATAAAGCCCACTTATCAACATTGTTTAGACCCAAACTAGTTTCGATCCAATCATGTGCAGCTCGTGAAATGAACTTAATCCTCTCTCGTATTTGTTCATAAACATATTTTTCTATTGCACAACCGGCTTGCCAAAGTAAGTCTTGAACCTGAGCATTTCCATACTTCTTCTTGAAGTTGTCTCTAATATGTCGCAAGCAATAGCGATGTGCATGTGGTGGCGGGAAATGTCGTTGGAGTGCTCTTGGAATTCCTTTCATCCTATCAGATATGAATGTAATCGGCCGCGTCCCCACACTAGGGATATGATATCTAATGCATGCAAAAAACCAAGCCCAATTCTCTGTATTTTCAACATCAACCACTGCGAATGCTAAAGGAAACAACCCGCCATCCGCGTCAACTCCGGTTGCAACAAGCAAAACGCCTTTGTATTTACCATATAAGTGAGTTCCATCAATGCTAAGAAGAGGACGACAATATCGAAACCCCTCAATACAGGGCCCAAATGCCCAAAATACACCGGTGAACCGCCGTTCTCCGCCATCAACCGGGTCCGAAGATAATTTGTAGACAGTCCCCGGATTTTCTTTTTGAGTGCTTCAAGATAATGAGGTAAGATCTCATACGATTTATCCCAATCCCCGAATATTTTTATCATCGCCTTCCTCCTAGCATTCCAACACTTGTGATATGATACATCCAAGTTGGTGACTTTATGCACTAAAAGACGGATATTTTTCGGCCTTAGATCAAGATTCTCCCTCAGATGCGGTAAAATCAATCGATATATAAAAGAAGAGGACGCATTCTTGTTATTCATCTCTAATCGAGGATTGCTACAAGTGTGGAGTCCATTGTATGCCGTGATTTTGAATTGCCTGACTACTCTTACACCCAAGCGTGAATTAAGCTTCCACAGACACCTCGCATTGCCGTCGTGGTGTCCACTATTATCTTTGACATCGTCATCTTTGCGATAGAAACAAACCACATTATAGCTTGTAGTATTTTTTTTTTGGTTGGCCTGAACTTCACATTTTTTGCAATGGAATACATGCGAATAGCATGGATCAATTTCTCCTTACTCTCGTAAAGATCTCCCTTGATGAATGAGAAGTCCTCGGCCTGTGTATCAACACCGCTATTAGTGCCAATAGGAACACTTTCCATCACGGAGTTATCAATCTATTCATCTCCTTGAAGTTCATCGGGCGGCGGATCCCCTAAGACGACATACTCATTATTAACATAACATCCGTCGATTTGTTGGTTTTCCCCGTCATCACGATCTATCAAGGTCATGCTATTAATTTGTTATCCCTCCTCTTCATGATTATTCTCGGATTCGATACTTGCATTATCTTCTTGAATTCCCGTGTTAGTATCGAAAGCATTCGAAGTGCCCACGAACGAAGGACCGCTCATGTATTGTGATTGTGTCCAACATTCATCTTGTTGAGGAGATAAAAAGCCTACGGAATCAACTTCAGGATCCTCCAACATGCGGGAATACATTCCTTCGTAATTCAACGATTTGCCCAAATCCCTCTGATGTTTTTCAATGAACAATTCGACCGAACGCTTATCGTCGTGTAAGACATGAATGAGACCCATATCGTAATCACTTGATATTTGAATGCCACTTGTTCTGTTCCTCACAACAGGATAATTGCAAACCACACTGAGGTGATACTCACGTGAGTTAGTTAATGTAAGTTTGTGTAATTCATTAATCAACTCATCGAAAGTACACGATTTTGTTATGAACAACGGTCTCGTCGCGCCTCCTTCATAAACGGGCATATTATTCTCGAGGTAATTAATCTTCCCATCATAAGAACAGAGAATTACGATTCGATCGTTCATCGTTACCTCTGAAGAGTGAAAAATTCAAGATCAATATTACACGAAAAGCCAAATAAATATTGATTGTTACTAATTTTTACATTTAGGTAGTAACTCTAATTTCCACATTAATTGATAATTTCTCCTCTAATTTTCGTATTTATTGATAATTTCCCCTCTAATTTCACAAAATTATCGATAATTTCCACACTAATTCCATGAAATTATTGATAATTTCCACACTAATTCTTCACAAATTTCGCAAAATTATTGATAATTTCCCCTCTAATTTTCACATTTATTCACAAAATTCGTAAATAATTGTGAAATTTCCACACTAATTCCACAAAATTATTGATAATTTCCACACTAATTCTTCACAAATTTCACAAAATTATTGATAATTTCCCCTCTAATTTTCACATTTCCTCACAAAATTCGTAAATAATTGTGAAATTTCCACACTAATTCCACAAAAGCCTTATATAGGCACGCCAAACTCCACGGGAGTTCAACTCCCGTGGAGTTGCAGGCGGCATTTCCCAGAGAGCGCTTTCTGGGAAATGCGGCCTGTAACTCCACGAGAGTTGAACTCCCGTGGAGTTTGATATGGTAAATTAAACTTTATAGGAATTCAACTCCCGTGAAGTTTAATTTCTCAATAAACTTCACGGGAGTTGAACTCCCGTGAAGTTTCGAAAAACTTTTAACAAAAACTGACCTGTTTTCAGCGCTGGGCTGAAAACAGGTCGTTTTTTGTAAATATTTTTAAAAGCGGTCGGTTTTTGCAAATAAAAACTCAAAATGATCTGTTTTGAAAGTTTTTCCTATTTCTTATACATAGCTTCAAATACGCACCTTCATATTTTATCACGCCACATCTTGAATTTTTAGGGTGCGCATAAAGATATCCTCTCTCAAAATCCCTATCCGCCCTTTCGCCTGATGCGAGAGTCAGTTGAAATCCCTGAATCCTAAAACTATGCGGGCGCTCGCATAGAACACCTCCTGCAAGCATTTAACGAGAAGCGTGTGACAAGAGCCAGCCCACGAGCTCTAGCTGCAACCCCTTATAAATAAATTCCCCATCTCGAGGACATCAGTCCGTGATAATTGTAGCAAAAGAAGTAAAAAGAATTTTTTTTTCCTTTTTCATCATCCATGGATCCCTACAAGGTATTATTCTCTCGATTCCTTTTCTTAACTCTTCTTTCTTTTTTAAATCTCTCTGTTTGAATCAAAGATTAACGAGGCGTTTTTTTTTTTTTTTTGCCTTTGACTTCTTAATGTAGCATCGGGGCGTTTTTTTTTTTTTTTTGCCTTTGACTTCTTAATGTAGCATCGGCCGTCGAGCGCCTACAACTCGCACTTTTTTACCACCAACTCCGGCGCTCCAGTTTGGAACAATAACTCGTCGCTCACCGTCGGATCTCGAGGTAGTTCTACTCGAATTTTTGAATTCATTTGCTTAATTTATTTCCTTTCTTTTGTTTATTGGAAATAGTGAGTGTAAATTTCCTTCTTGTTTTATTCATTAAAGGGCAGGGAAACAGTTTAGAAAATTAGGTTTAGAGGGCCACCGAATCATGTCAGGGGCAATTTCGTTGGACAGTTGTTGCAAATCAATTTTTGTCCCAGGCCCACTAATCATAGGAATGAAGGAAATATTGTTGGAATATAACTCACAGTAGAGTGATATCTGTGTGGGGTTAAGTTTTTCGAAAGTTTTTTTTTGTTTTCTTTATTAATAGATAATAATACTTATGGTGATTGTGTCATTGATAAAAATTCGAAATCGACGAGAGAGGGCTTTTCGAGTTCATGACAACGGACTGACCTATGCTGAAGGAGACTTGTGAGCCAATAGTTTAAGGTCTCAGCAAGAAATTATCGTAGATTTGAATCTATGTTATTAAACAATTTGTCTGTTGGAAGGAAAGAGATTCTACTTAGAAATAGCTAGGTGACAAGGCGCAACCATGGCATCTGTAAGCATTCCAGCAAAATGCTTAGGGTACATTTTATGTACTTGACTTAATTATTGGCTGGAAGTAGACCGTTTGAGATGGACGTCAAATTTTATATTTCCTCACGCGCATTTTCTTCCTAATCATTCCATGCTACCGAGTTTAGCCAGCCATTTTATCAATTTATTTGGGTTATACCCGTTGGGTATTTTAGTCCCTCCTCCTACGATCTCCGCAACCCAGAAATTAATTCACCACAAGATAGAAAAATACTCATAATCAAGAAGAGGAATACCGAGATTTATGTGGTTTGGTCGACCAACTTTGACTTTAACCACATGGCATAATACGAGAAGATCCACAATGAAGAACCATTTAACTCTCGGTTGTCAATCTCTCACACACATACATAATCAACTCTCATATTCTCTTCAAAACCTCCTCTTTACAATCTTTTAGACAGATAAAAGGCCGTGAAACCCTCTCCCAATCTTGCAATCTTTTGCACGGATAAAAGCTATGAAACTTTCACCTCTCGCACACTATTATTGAATCTGGTTTATGCCTTTTGCCGACCTAGATTACAAGAATAGTGGCTCCCTCTTTCGCCTTGGTTTTTCCTACAATAATAAAGAACTATATATAGGAAAACCGAAACCCTATTCTTAGCGTAACTTTGTAATTAGAATATTATACAAACCTTATCATAATGAGGCCCAATTTCCTAATCATGACAGACCTCTAATCCTATCTGATTCTCATGAAGGCACACAATCCCAACAATACATTAAATTTTTTTGAAGTAATCAACAATACCTTCATTGCTTTGCTTCATTCATGAAATCAGTTTCTGCAATAAAAGTTAGCTTATTTTACCCTGTCCAAGAGTTATTTTGTGATTGTATACGCTTAATTTGAAGAATCCATAAGACAGACTGTCCTTTATGCGGACTGGGTCTCTAGGTGTTACAAAATTCCCTCTCATATTCAGGATTTCATAGACCTGGGAATTGTGATGACCACTGTTGCTCGTAAAGTCTTAAAGGTCATTTGTGGAGACACACACACACACACACACACAGATTTCATAGACCTGGGAATTGTGATGACCACTGTTGCTCGTAAAGGCTTAAAGGTCATTTGTGGGGAGACACACACACACACCCACACAGATTTCATAGACCTGGGAATTGTGATGACCACGGTTGCTCGTAAAGTCTTAAAGGTCATTTGTGAAGACACACACACACACACACACACAGAT